AAAAAAAAAAAAAAGCCTGGCATGGTGACTATAATCTCACCCTAGGAAGAGGAGAGAGGACTGCTGCCAATTTGAGGACATCTTGGGCTACACAGTGAGTTCAAGGCCAGCCTGGATTATAGAGCAAAATCCTCTCTGAAAAAAAAAAAAAAGGTGAGGGGAGCTGACAAGATAACTCAGCGGTCTAAAGAGTCTGCTTAGGCAAATTTAGACAACTGCAGGGACCACAGTCCAATCCCCAGCACCACATGCCATGCCAGCCCTGCCCTCAGGGCAGGCTGAGCTGGCCACAAAAAAAAAAAAAAAAAAAAAGCAGAGGATTTATTGGACTGCTGAAATCTGCCATAAATAAATATCCCCAATACATAAATGTCCAATAAACTAAAAGTTTTATGTTTTGTTTTTTGGTTTTGGTTTGATTTTGCCCTACTGGGGATCTGGTCCTCACACAGACAAGTGATCTACCTCTGAGCTACATGCCCAGTCCTTTCTACATATTTTTATTGAAGCAGGGTCTCACTAACTTGCCCAGGATAGTCTCAAGCTTGAGAAGCGTAGCCTCAGCCTCCTGCCAAGTTGGGCTTATCGGCGTACACAGGACTAACGACACCACTACCAACAGACCTCGTCCCGCTTACCCATGTCAGAGGTTGATGGCTCACTGGCCTCACTGACTGAGACACTGGCAGCAGGTCTGGTCTGCAGGGGGACTGGAAAGTGCCCGGAGATAATTCTTGACATTATTTCTTGTTCCACCCTGGAGGTATATAAAATTAAAGAATCCTAAATTTGGTTGGCTGTATAAAACACTAGACATATTACCCTTAAGAATAACCTTTACCCAGAGGCACAAAGATTTACATATGAAAGCAGTCATCAGAAAGGTACATTTGGAAAGAAGAAAAAGAATAAATGTGCTAAGAGGATAAATGCACAAAAACCACCTCCTTGTAGGAAATACTTCATGTAGTCAAATCAAAATCCTTTCTACTATTCTAATGAGAAGCTTAACAGGATCCTTAAATTGAAGGAGTTAGATCAAAAACTATCTGGCACATCATGTACCTAAAAGATACGATTCCCACTCTGCAA